TTTAAATGTTCATTAGAGGACTTCATCCTGACCCTGAGTCTGGCGTGTAGGAAATGAGCTGACACCTGGTCTTGCCCTCAAGTAGCCTATGTCTAACTGGGGAAAAGGAGCAGATGTAAACCAAAGAGAATGTGACTCACTGGGGTTTACAAGCACGTAGGTATGAGGGCTAAGGAGCCTGGGAAGTGAGCAAGTGAAAAGGTAGGGAGGATTGCTGGAGGAAAGGAAGTCACTAGAATACGACTGTGATGAGGCATTCTGGAAAATGTTCCTTACACCTTTTTCTACCCAGACTCCCATTCAATCCCAGTCAGTGTTTACCACTAGAGGATGTTAGAGCTAGACGATACAGTATCTGGTCCAAGCCCTTTATTTTAAAAATGAAGAAATGGAGGTCTAGATTGATGAAGTGACTTGCACAAGCTTGCAGGTAGTAAATTGTACTTGAAGGCAGCTATGTAAACCGAAATATGTCTGGAAAGAAGTCAAAACAAAACAAATATTCAACCCAGCCTCCTCATTCTGGCTTGTCTGTCATTTACATGCATGCTTAAGCTTCTCCACCTGGTTCCCAACGGATAGGGGTGTGGGTAGAGTGCTGGACTTGGAGTTTGGAAGACCAAAATTTGAATCCGGCCTCAGACACTCATTAACTGTGTGACCCTGGTCAAGTCGCTTAATGTTGCTTGCCTCAGTATCCTCATCTGTAAAATGAGCTGGAGAAGAAAATGGCAAACCACTCTCAGTATTTTTGCCAAGATAACCCCGCAAAGGGTTCACAAAAAAAAATCTAATACGACTGAAAAACACTGAACAACAACACACTTACTAGCCATGTGACCCTGAACGAGTCACTTAATGTCTCTCAACCTCAGATTCCTCATCTGTAAAATGGGGATAATAATAGCACCTATCTTCCAGGGTTGTTGTGAGGCTCAAATGACATAACATGTATAAAGTGTTTTGCAAGCCTTAGAGTGTTATATAAATGCTAATCAGTAGCAGTAGCAGAGAGGGTAGTGGTAGTTGATCCAGGATTCACACCCTGGTGTGCTTTTTCTAGTCTACTCTTAACACTGCCACACTTAATTAGCCTGCCTGGGGACCTAGCCTATATTAAATTCTCACTGGCCACACCCTTCATCTTCCTGTGCATTAGACAGTTGGAGTTAGTCTGGAAAGACTTGATGGAAGAGTGAGTTAAACAGAATTTTTAAGTAGGGGAGGAGCTTTGGTTTGGTAGAAAGAAGGTGGGAAGGAAGACTGGCATGTGGTTCAGGTGAGACACACGGAGGGGGTGGCAAACTATTGGAGCAGGGCCAGTGAGCTGGAGGCCAGCTGAGAAAATCTGTGGTGGAGGGCAGGGATATGGGAAATCTTTATTTGGATGTCAGCAAACCTTCAGTCTTCCAAGCAGTGGAGGCTTGTGCTCACATGGAATGACACTTTCAAGACAATTCTTGCTGCTGAGTCTAGGATAATTTGATAGGAGTGCGGAAAGGAGAAGAGCCAGAAGGGAGAAGCCTGTCACCTTCAGTAGTTCAGGTGCAAGGGAAGGAAAGCCTAAAAGAAACCATGTGACATTTTTAGGTACACCTGAAACCACCTCAGTTTAGTGAAGGAAAAGCACACCAAGTACTCAGTCTCTCTAAAATCAAAAAAACAAACAAATGTAACAAAAAATTTATTACTAGCCAGGGGAATTGAGGACCAGATAGAAAACATTTTACCTATTTGTTTTTCAACAGTGATTTTTCCACCATGTGCTCATATATTCAATAGCTGAACAATCAACCAGTCAATCACCAAGCATTTATTAAGATTCTACTATAGGGGCAGCGAGGTGGCGCAGTGCATAGAGCACCTGCCCTGAAGTCAGGAGGATCTGAGTTCAAATGTGGCCTCAGATCTAACACTTGACACTTACAAGCTGTGTGACCCTGGGCAAGTCACTTAACCCCAACTGCCTAATTAAAAAAAAATTCTACTATATTGCCAACTCTATGGTAGGCACTGAAAATGCAAAGAAAGATAAAAATGAAACTCTAAGAGCTTCCATTCTATTGTGGGCGACATTATTTGCCAGGAAAAAAAAAGCTCCCCCCCCTTTTTAAAAAAAATCTTATCCTGAAATTTGAAAGGCCTTAAAAAGAGTTGCGTGGTATGGATGGACCTATGAGGAAGCTGAGGCTCAAAAATGCAAAAAGAGCTACTGTGTGTGTGTGTGGGTGGGTGGGTGGGTGGGTGGTCTTGGCTAGGTCTCTTTACCCCAAGTCTGGTGTTTCTTTCATTGCACCACGCAAATGGTGCATCATGGTCTCCCTGGAAATGTTCCTTGGTGTCGCTATCAGATTCTGAATCCAAGGTGGAATGATGCACTGGCATGACTTGGGACCTGATCCCCTCATTTGTTAGTCCTATATCTCATCCTTAGAATCTCTTTATATTTTGATACGTTTTGTATTTACTTGCCTGTGTACGTGCGTTACGCGCGGGTTTCCCCAGTAGAAGCTCCTTGAGGGCCGGGAATGTTTTACTTTACTTTGGTCTCTGTACACCCAGCAGGCAGCAAAGTGCTTGACAGAGGAGGTACTTAAATGCTTCTTGAAATGAACCAGAATTTTATGCAAAAAACTTCACTTTCACTTTCTTCCAGTAAAATGAAGACAAAAACAAATAGCTAGCTAACCCTTATCATTCTTTAAGGTTTAGAAATCACTTTACCTACATTATCCTACTTGATCTTATTTAGAAATCTAAGCAAGTTACTCTGAGAATTAGAGAGAAAATCCACTTTCCCTTTAAATTACACAATTGCCTCAAGGCTCTTTTTCCCCCTTGGTTAATGAAGTTCTATTCTCCACAGAAATCCTACTCTGATGCTTAAATAAGGTGTGGAGGTGACCCTGGCTTCTTGAAGGCTATGTCAATGAACCACAAGCTCTGACAGGGTCTACCAAGCTGGCAAAGTTCCCAGGATGGACAGGGTGATAAACTGAGTCTGGTTAAGTGACCTGCCTTGAAGTGCGACTTGTGGGGAAGCACAAATAGACATCTCTAGTGTCTCCTCCCCCTACCCTCCTCTAAGGGAGACTTCAAGAAGCAAGAGGTTGGGATCAGAGGCAGGCTACTCTACTTTCTTCAGAAAGAGGGAGTACCATGCTAGAATTATATCTGCCCCCTGAAATATTGTTAGACTAGGGGAAATAACTTCAAGGTTCAAACTAAACTCCTGATCTCTGCTCATTAGTAAAGAAAAAATGGCACCAAGATCTATATTCAAAGCATGACCCCTTTCCCACCAGATACCAGTTCCACAATGTACATACATAGTAAATAGCAAAGAAACCCATTTATTCAAGTTAATAGCAAAATAGAAATCAGAGAAAGTATACATTTGAAACTTTATACCAGATAGTACAGATGGAATGAGGTCTCCCTTTTGGAGGGAGGTAACTCAGTTCAACCAAAAGAGAGTCCTGGATTTTGGTTGGAATAGTCATCCTTGAAACTGGAAGCCAGAAGAACTCAAAGAGACTGAAGAGATGGAATCTCTCTTTTCTGCTCTTTCCAACCCTGCCCTGTCCCCTCCCCTTCCCCACCCCCAACTTCCTCCACCGATGAGAAGAGAGTTCCACACCAAGGGGCTTTGGGGCTTGGTTTACATAAATATGGAGGGGCTCACCATCAGAAGATTGGGCTTTCAGGCTATGATTTTTTTAGGCCATGGAATGACTGGAGAGTGACATGACTATAGCAGTATTTCATTTATCTCTATTAAACAAGAAAGACTATTTACAACACAGAAGATAAATAGCATCAACACAGAACAGACCACTGGGTGTTACAAAGCAGTGTGTCAAGCTACCTATGTGGGACATTTGATGGCCAGTGTCCACGTGTCTGAGGAGAAGAAAAGTCATGGACTAATAAGAATCAACAAGGTTCTTAGAGTTAACCAGTAAAGAGGAATTTGTGGTAAAATCAATAGTAAATGGCCACGATTACACTAAATTTCTAATGAAGACAACAGCCAGTTCCTTTCCTTCCAAGCAGGGAAAAGGGCTTTGCTAAATACTTGAAACACAAGCTGCCACTGACCCCAATTTTCAAAGCAACTAAATCCTTAAAGCTTATGAACTAAGGTTTATGAACTAAAGCTTATGAACTTATTTGTGTGGTTTTTTTAAAATGTTAATATGAAGTCAATTTCTGCTATTTAAGATTTTCTTACGCTAATATTAACATTTAACTTTTTTCATTTGGTGTCCTGGCCTGGGAAAAGGAAAGAACATTTGTCAGGATGGCACACAAAGTGGATGAGCTAGATGCACCAACCCCAAAATTGACTGGAGAAGATGCCACGGAACACTCTAAGCCCTCCATAAGACAATAGGTATGTCAGAGTGTTTTCAGGCACAGCAAAGAAGTTGATAGGCTAGTTTCTTCACAAAAGGAACTAAGTCAGTGGAAATCAAAGGGGGTGAATGGAAGAAGGAAGGAGACAATGGCTTGAAATGGTGGTCTACAAGCCAATTACATGGTCCTGCTGAGCATGGCAAAGAGAAGAGATGATGGAAGCAAAGTGATTAGGGAACCAGAACCTAAAAGAGCTATTCTTTGTTTCTACTTCAGTGGCCGCAACACTAGAATTTTGCTTTGGGGTTTGGTGAATATTACTGAATGAAAGAAGAGATGCCAGGCAAAAGGGTGGGGGGAGGGGAGTTTTAAGCCATCCATCCTTAAGCCTGGCGGGCTCTGAATTGGAGAATCTATGGCAAGGTGTTTTATCTAGAACTATGAAAATTTTTTTAAGGATTCTTTAGAAACATATGATTGAATCAGGTCTTTGCCAATATAATTAATAAATTAATGGAGGGGGAAAATCAACCTCTGGGTATTGCAGTGATGCCTCGAAAAATGAAAACACAAGGAATTTTCATAAACAGCAAATCTATTTGTATATACTTGTGCCTGCAAAAGGGGAAGAGCTATTGACCTCAGTAGAGATTGATCTTTTCCATGATCCACAAGAACTCCATTTCGGTGATTGGTCCATCTCCATCTTGATCAGTTTCATCAATTATTTTCTGCAGTTCCTCATCGGTGAGGTTTTCCCCTAGCTCTCTGGTCACATGTTTTAAGTTTTTGAAGGAGATTTTGTTCCCCCCGGTATCATCATCATCCAGGAGACTGAAAACCTTCATCATTTCTTCTTTAGAATCTTTTCAGCCATTTTTTGGGTCTCTACAGACATGAAGTCACTGAAATTGATTTTTTCCGTTCCCTCCTCTTCAATGTCAGCTATCATTTTATCGATCTCTTCTTTCTGGGGTTGGAAGCCCAGAGCTCTCATTGCCACCTTGGGTTCCTTAACATCTGTTGTCTCTGCTTCATCTGTATCAAAGAGATCGAATACTTCTCGAATGTCTTGTTTCTGGTCCTCTGTGAGTTCAGGTTTGGATTCCATCTTCTTTGTTGTAGGGGTGGAGTTCAGATTTGGCTTCAGGAGGGAACGGGCCAAGCCTCAGCTCCAGAAGACGAACAGGCGGACACACTGAGTCTCTAAGCTCCTCGGGTGTTAATGAGACCCCTGTCACCCCGCCCCCTCCATTGCCTTGGTTCCGCTCAGATTCTGCCTGGTCCAGTAGACAGAACCCCATCCGCCACAAACCCTGCCCTCTTCCCCCATTTTGTGACTGCTGCCACTGCCCCTGGAGCTCAAGAACAGGCTAAAACAGTATATTAACAAGATGCATCTATGCAGCATGGATTGGAGATAAGAAAATGAACAGGGAGTAAGACCCATATGGAGGTTATTGTAGTAAGCCAGATATGAAATGATGAGGAAACGAGGGTAGTGGCAATGATATTTCAAAAGAAAGGTTGGATGGAAGAGACATAGTGAAGAATAATTGATGAAAGTTCTGTGTCCATTTGGGTATAAGTGTAAAGTCATAAGAAGAATCCAAGAAATCTTGAATACACACAAGTGGAGAATGGTGGAATGGTCACTAGACATTTTTGTTGGTTGAAAACTCATGAGTGTGTTTTTAGATAGGTTGAGGTAATGATGGTACATTCAAAGGAATACATTGCAGCAGGAAGAAGATATGAGAGCTTAGAAACAAAAAAAGACTACAGATAAAGATTTAGGAATCTTTTATTCGGTGGATAGGGTTAAAGCCAGAGAGTATGTAGAGAGACCAGAGGGCCAACAATTGAAATCCTTCCAAAATGTCCAATTTAGGGAGTGAAAGGAAAAAGAGACTTTGAACAGGAGATTTAAGGCACTAGCTTTAGCTGTAGCCTGGATTTGAGAACATTTCAAAAAAAGGGACTGGTCAACAATGTTCAACGCTGCTGAGAGGTCAAAAGAAATGAAGACCAAGAAAATCCATTGGATCTTTCAGTTCAGGAAGGACCTTCGAGAATACAATTTCAATTTATTGTTTCATATCGAATCCTCTCATATGTGCTGCTGTGTACATGGAAATATTTTTTTTTCTTTTCCTATTTTGTATTTAAGTTTAAATTGAATAAAAAACTTAAACAAAAAGAATACAACTTCAGTTGAATTATTGGACTCAAGTCAGATTGCTGAGGGAAGAGTGTTAAGGGGTAAGTAGGGCTGAGGAAAGTTTGACTATGAAAGAAGCAGAATAGGCTGGTAACTAGAGGGAGTAGCTGGGCCATGCAAAAGTTGTTGTCTTTTTCCCAAGGTAGGATAGCACTTTTGAAGACAGAGGAAAAATAAACCAGTGAAAAGACAAGTTGGAAGATATTGAAGAGAAAAAGTCATTAAAATTAAGGAAGTAAAAACCTGGATTTCAGATGGAAGGGTTGATTTTGGAGTAGACACTTTTTCCTTTCAGTAAGGAGGAAGGAAGGGAAAATGGTTGTAGAAACATTTTCAGTCTTAATCTATTTGGCCCAAGGTTACCCATTGTGGTCCATCTAACCAGAATTTTGTGTAACTCTTCAGCAGACCCAGTCAAAGAAAAACTTGGGTTAGCATAGACATCTTCGAAAAACACTTGCAGAAATGACCATCATAAAATGCTTGCAGAGAGCAACATAAACTAAAGCTTGGAACTTTACATTCTTGCTAGGATCCCATGCTCCTCTCCTGAGGTTCCTGATGATATAAAGCTTTCTATGGTATATGACTTTCCTGGTTATTTGGTAGACAAAATGTCACTTTCTACAGCATTGGGTAACAAAGGTGCTTATGTATGCTAAAACCTGAGGATTGAATGAGGTAATGTATGTGAAAAGTGCTTGTAAATTGTAAAGTGTTATACAAATATTATTATTACTTGGAAGAAAAGGGCAAAGAGGAACAAAAATAAGAATAGACTAGAATATTAGGGACCCAAAAGAAAAGTTTTAGATTCAGTGGGAGTGGGTGGTAGGGGGAGAGACAGAGAGACAGAGACAGACAGAGACAGGGGGAGAGACAGAGAAAAAGGAGTAATAGAGAAAGGGGAGTTAGGTGGCACAGTGGATAGAACTCTGGCCCTGAAGTCAGGAAGACTTGAGTTCAAATCTAGCCTCAGACACTTAACGAGTTGTGTAACTTTGGGCAAGTCACTTAACCTCAGTTTTCTTACCTATAAATGGGGAGTAATAATAGCACCTACCTCTCAGGGTTGTTTTGAGAATAGAATAAGAGTATATGTAAAGTGTTTTGCAAACTATAAATGTCAGCTGTTATTATTAAAAAGTAATCTGGATGTAAATTGAAGGAGGAGAAAGAATTCCCCCATTGGTTAGAATGGGGAAATAATCAACTCTGAGCACCAAGATGTGCAAGATGTGCAGATGCTAAGAAGGTAAGACAAGGTCCCTGCCTTCAAGGAGCATATAGTATGGGTGGGGAAACAAGAAATGGACACATTAGCGAAGGATGTTGTGAGACAATGTATATACTAAGTGCCAAATAAGTGATACAAAGAGTAAGCAGTGTCGAATGTCAGAGGAAGGAGGCTGGAATGAGTAGTTTGCACATCAGAAGTAGGATCTCATCTGGACCTTCAACATTAGGTAGGAATTAGAAAAGTGGAGAGTAGTATAGAAAGTGTTTCAAGTAGAATGCATATCATGAGCAAAGAGAAGGGCAGGAAAGAGTTCCTGAGATGGAAAAACAGGTCCACGAAGGGGTAAGCAGACCAGACTGGCTGGAAGAGAGATGTAGGGGCTTAATAAATCATTGGTAGTTGCTTGATGATTGACTTTTACCACAAAGCCTGTTGGATTTCCCTGGGAGAAAGTATCTGAGCATGCTCATTGACATTTAACAACAGCTCTTCCCTGATGAAACAAAGATGCAAATGAAATGTATTGAGGTTCTATCACACCACACCAATCTTAGGGTTAATTTTATTTTATGTTTTTCTCTCAAACACTTAAAAAAAGATTTTTGCGATCTTTAGTTTCCATTGCCAGGCTAAGCTCGTTGTCATACCTTAACCATTTTTTTTATGCTACTTTACCATGTTCTTATTTTGTTTGTCCCATCTTCTGCATATTTCTTCTATAACTATATATTGATTTGTGAGTTCCCTGTTCATCCACCTTAATAGCTTCAGACAAGTCCCATCCCTCCCCATTTGAAATTGTTTCCCTTTTGTGTCTTTACAATTTTGTACTTGAACATTTTTTATACCCGCACAACTCTTTTTCCTGAAGCATTTTGTCCCATGGGATACTATTTATCTTTCTTCTAGATGCTTTTAAATCTGATTTCTAAAATTTTGGATGAATGTCAGACCTAAAAAGGATTGACAGTGATTATGCCATCTTGGGCAAGAAACTGAAGACTATCAGGGTACAAATTGGGCTTTCCTCAGAGTTACCCATTTTTAGGTTCCTTCTGGAAAAAAAAATTGTATTTGTCCACATGAATCACCAGAAGTGTCCATTTGCTATCCATCTGGATAAGTCTTGGGAGGTTCTCTTACATCTTGAGAACATTCCTTGGGAAGAAAACAGACTACTCCATTGTGCTATCAGTTGAGCAGGCAATCACCAACTACTTTTATCTTCTTTCTCTGACCCTTAGTGAATGATCTCTCACCCAATAGATATTGTTCTTTGGAGAACAAACATCTTCTTTCTCAGGACATTTATATCCTTTTTCTTCAGGAACAGCCTCAAGTTTGTTTTCAAATTCTAACTGTACAACTGTCCCTTTCTTCCTTTTTCCCTCTTTAACATTCTTCCATTCTCTTAATATCCTGACAAAGATTCAGTCTCCCCTCTTTCATGGTAGCTCCATTTTTTCCTCTCCATTGAAGCCTTGCATCTTTTTCCTTTTTGGAATATTTCCTCCCTCTTAACAAACTGGAGTGTGGGGAGGTATTCTTTGAGCCTTTTCACATTCTACCCCAGGAAGGAGGTCAACCTACACTTGGAACATAGATAACTGTGGTAAGATTACAAATGTCATACACTCCAGGAAAGTCACTGTACATTTCTCTTGCTTTCTCTGGCTGAGATTTTAAGTCTTTAAAAAAATAAAGAAGAAAAAATTACTTGTGGATATTCACATCTAAACCCTGAGTGCCTGCTCAAAACCTTCATATCAAATTATTTCCTCTTGATACTGGTAGATGTAATGATGTTCCTTTCCATAATCTCAACAATTCCACATTCACACCCACCAGGCAGGAAATAGACATTTATTATTATGTGACAGGCACTGTGCTAATCCCTGAGGATACAAATACAAACAAAAAGAAATCCAATTCTTCACTAAGCTCCTTTCTGTTTCACCATTTGGCCCCATCCCCCCACCCACTCTATCAATTTATTTTACCCTCTCATTGTTCCACTTACCTTGACTTGCCTTGCCAACTACCTTCTTCTTCTCCTTCTTGAGTATCCTTTTCAGCTTCTACTCCCTAATCCTCCTTGAGCTTCCTTATTACTTCTTGAACCTTTTGCCTTAACTATCCTTGATCCCCTTCTTCTTTCAACCCTGATGTAGATTCTGGAAATTGTCGTCTTTCAGATTTTCCTTAATTTCTTACAAATTTCACCAAATTTCTTCTCCCCAAATTCAACTTTTGACCTGCTTCACTAATCTAAATCCCTCCAAGTCACCCACATGATTCCTTTCTCCTTCAAATTAAGCTTACATCCTTCTATCTTCTCCTGCTACTTTACCCTGAACCTCCTTCCACAGAAGCACCATTTTCTAAGGCCTTATGATAAGGATAGCATGAGATGCTCAAATCTCATTAAAACCATCTGTTCTTAGACAATAACTCTCCTTCAGATTATGACTTCAGGTTTTATTGAAGAATCAGATCTTATGTTATATACAGTATTCTATTATAACTTTAATTTGACATAATTCCATACCATATCTTACTGATTTGTGTACCTATTTTATGCCTTACCCTTGAATGTAAGCTCTTGGAGGGTAGGGGTTGTATTGTTTTTTTAATCTTTATATCCTAGCCATCTAGCATAGAGTTTTGTGTGTAATAGGTGCTTACTAACTCCATATTTCATTGAATTAAAGTGGACAAAGATAAGGTTAGAAAGGCAGTCTGGGGAAGTAAAAGAAATGGAGGAAGTAGACGAGAGTGAAGGGGACTTCTATGAATGGGAACTAGTAAAGTAGGGTTACTCAGGCTACTGGGGTCTGTGTAAA